ATGTCATGCGCTGGCCCCCTGCCTTGTGGGGTGGTTGTGGTGGAAACGGTGGCATTGAACCCTTTGGTACAGGGGGTGACACACACACACAAAATATATATACATAATATATATAAGCATACATATACAATCATATACATTCACTTTTGGCAGCACAGAAAATAGGTTCTTCAACGGGAAGCAGCATCAGAATTTCCACCCAAGGCTCCGATGAACATCTCACAGGCAGATGTGAGAATGAGGTCCCCCAGTTGGAAGTCCTGCATCAGCAGGATGCGGCTCGTGTGGGCAAAGTGCCTTGACTGCCTTTGCTTCCACTTCCAAGAGAAAAGCATGCAGGGATTGATGACATGAGGGGGCGAACACTGCCAAACAAAATATGTTTGGAAGCTTTTGGAAGTGGGGAAGGGCGACATGACCCCACTGACTGAATGGAAGCATCATAAAGCATCGGCTCCTTGAGATATTTCCAGCGCAGGCACATGAGGCGCCCTTCCTGCGCCAACATCCTCATGCGTGGAGGCAAACGTCCAGATTGCCAGGGATGATCCTTATAGGGGATCACTCCTGCGCAGGCACGGCAGAACAAAGCATCGCAGCCGGAAGAAAAACAAACAAACGCGGTAGCTTTCTTGTGCTTGGTTTTCTTCAAAGGCATGCAGTTGGCTGAGCTCACTGTACTCCTTTACTCTGCCGGAAATTGCTCATTCGGAGCGATTCTGAGGCCTAGTGACCTAGTGAATCGATAGTGACTCGCTGCCACATTTGAGTGACGAAGTGGGACACTTCCGGGATGCACGCGACACACCTTTCCATCAACGCAGCGACGGTCGAAATGAAAGACTGGGGGAACGCACAAAGAACAAAGGAATGCAAGGTATCCTTGGGGAAGGCACTACTTTACTCCTTCAGATTGCCATTCTGTGACCCAATAGCCAGTAGTCCGTCACAAACAGCCCACCTGATGTGAGGACTTGCTGCAGCTGCAAGGGGCCCTTTGCTTCGACATGAATCAACCTCAGTTCAAAATCCAAAGATCAGCTCTGTGCAGGTTCACTAGCATACAGTCGGGTGGCCCGGGCGGTTTAAGGTTAAACACCGTTTTGGGGTACAAAGGCAGTCGGAGGGATCACATTCTGATGAAATGCTCCTCGAATTTTGGAACCTCTTTGAAGGCCCCACTCCCCAAAAGCCCACAGGACAAACCAGCCCACGTCGTAAGAGATGGGTCCAGGCATGACTCCAAGAGGTATACAGCAACTTGACAACTCTACACTAACTTCTACACTACGTACATTCCCTCAGCACATCAGGGTATCCGGAGTAAAATGCACGGTGGCTGTCTCCATGCGACCACCTGATGCGATCTTTTGTCCTGATGCAATATATCTCTTCACGACGACCCTTCGCTGACGGCTGCCCAGGTGCTGCAAGGGCTCACGCCCTGGGAGCCGTAAGGCCACAGCCTTTCGCGCTTGGCTCACTTCTGATGCCTCAGAAGCAAAGGCCACAGGAATTGAGGGTCAACCAGGTGCAGCCACCAGGCGCTTGGTCACCAGGTGCTTGGCCACTTAGGCATGGGTAAGTCGCCTTGACATACCTGGTCGACTAAATACATAGAATTCTACTATAAACATCGGACCAGCTGCAACCGAGACTTGTTAATTTTTAATACTTAAACTTGTTTAAAGAACACATAACGTCCTGAACTTGAGAAACCACCGTTGTTCTTTCACCCCCTCCCTTCCCAGCCTGGCAGCGCAACGGGAAGTGGAAAATGGCTAGGCCTTGGTGGTTTCTGTCAGAGTCGAGCAACAATCACTTGCGGGGAAGATGAGGATTTCTCTTACCAAAATTCCCCTCAGAAACTCCTTAGGACAATCCAAATTCACTTCCATTTCTTTCTTCCTCCTCACTGGCAAAAGGCATCGCAGTCTACAACCTGCGGGTGCGAATCAGGTCTTCATTTTGTGAGTCGCACACGAACGGCTAACGTGGCCGTTACTCTTCACTCGTTTTGGGAGGATTCCTGAAGGCAAAGCTACTCAGGGGGTGGAGCCAATAGTCCAGGAAGCGGTTTCACAGATGTAAAAAGAACTATATATATATATATAAATTCATCATATCCTTGTTTGTCTTTGACCATCCCATGTCCTTTGAGGATATTCCAAGAACACGGCCACCCTCAAAGGCGGCTAACACTTCCCTTTCCAATCGAAGTGGCTCTCACCTGGCGGAATCCACACCGCCTGGAGCGCGGGGGGCCCGGCAGGGACCCCAGTGGGTCTCAGAGGCACTAGCATCTACAACCGAAAGGATGTGAAGTGGCGACAAGCCATTGCATCCCTCTTCATCGGGCCTGCAGGGCGGTGAATCAATGAACCACCACGCCACTACAAGCTAGAAATACCAGTCACTATGGTCATGGGATGTCGTCCCCTCTGCTGAACTGGAGTTGGAGCAGGGTATGAAGTGCATGGGTCCATGGAAGAACCACATTGGCTCGTGGAATGCTTGCAGCCTACTGATGTGTGGGTCGTGATGGGCCTAGGAGCCTCGAGTTGGAGCCTAAGAGCGGAACGCCTGTCCAAAGACATGCCAAAAAACGTATGATGTGTCTGTCAACGCTGGCCATCCATATCGAGTGACTCTGTGGTGTCACAAACAGCGGGCCATCCCCATGACTCCGCCTGGTCCGCGATGGGATCCCTGGCGATGAACTCCATGATATCCATGGTGTCGGGGCCTCGACCCGGGTGGTCACCCGTGTGGCACGGGGTGACTGGGATGATCGGCGAAGCATCTGCAACCTCGACGAATCAGCTCTGTAAGACGCTGAGTACGAAAGAGAGGATATGTTCGTTGAACTTTCTGAAGGTGGTATGGAAAATCCAACTAAGTTATATAACGCAACATAGCATTGGTAATCATTGGTAGCTTGTCTACATCTGATCTCATTTGCCGAAAAGATCTTGGTTCATCTTCAAAGGTCTTCGATAGGAATCCTTCAAACCTGGAGATGCTGTTTGCGAGCAAGGTCTTTTGGTCTTTTGAGATTTTGAGTTTCTGGATAAACCTGATCCTGGCTTTTCATGGTAATAAGGTGTTATACTTCTATACGTACACAATCTTATACAAATGCATATTACAATAGCCTATAGCGAACATGTCTTGTTTCGTTTCCCTCTTTCCTTGGCTCAGCCAGCCTTAGTGAGCGCAAATCTCATGACCTTTGAACCAAGCTTTTCTTTTTTTGTGTGTTCCATCGTATTCCCACGTTCCCACACCCTAAAATCCGTGTGCCATCCCTATTCATCTCGCTGGTCGCCTGAGAACTCTTTGATGATCTCCTCTACTCGGTTGGTCACTGCTGGCTCATCCCCACTCTTCTTATTCCTGGGGAGCTGCGAAAAGCTGAGTGCTCAGGTTGGAAGTGGTCTGTGCCTGAAAGAAAGCCTGAATCTTGCTGGAATGAATGTCAGTGTTCATCCGTTTTGTCTGTTGAATGCCCGCTTTCTGGCTCATTCCCCCCCTTCCAGTTGTCGGTTTGCTGGCTCGCAAATGCTTTCCGAAGCGACTGCAATTCCCCAAGCTGTGGAACAGTTCCAGGATGTTCCGGAAGGATGGTGTTTCCAGTTAATCTTCCAGGGTATTTGCCTTTCTGGATTTCTTCTCCACTTTGGTGTCCCTGCGATGGAGCGGCGGCAACAGTCCAGGCATGACTTGAACGAAGCTTTCACTTGCATTGCCTTGGTGTCCATGCTTTGAGGGCAAGTTGGGGTCCTGTTCTCGTGGGTGGGAACCAAGATACCCCGGTTAATGGCCGCCTTTGGGCAAACATCAAAAATAATGCAAAGCTGTTGACAAGAATGTGATACGTGAAAACACTAGTCTGCCCAGTATTTGCAATAGCTTGGGAACCTGGGCAAGCCTGTGGTGTAGGAGCTTGTTCATCAACGGAAAGCATCCCCGTGTAGTACTCAAGAGTCGTCTAGCGCAGCTCAGTTCGGCACGAAGGATGAAGCGTGGCGTGACGGTGACGCCCTTGCCGGGGAAGCGCGGGATGCCCAAGACAGCGTGCACCTGCGCTCTGCCGTCGTCTGCAGGCAAAGGCCGCCTTTCTGTTTCATGGGCATGCAGCGTGCTGGAATCACAACTAACAAGGGGGAATTTCATCAGGTACGATATGCGTCGGCGTCTGCCAATTTTTGAACTGTTCCAACTTTTGTACTTGACGTGATTTGGTGGGCACCTTCTGGTTCTTACTCTTGCTGTAGTAGTTTTGTATGGCTTTCATTAAGAGCTCAACATGCGTAAACATGCGCAAATAGTATACTACAAATAATCACAACCAGCCATAACAAGCCACTTCTATTTGCACACACCTCGGACTACTCACTCATGAAACGTGAACTGCCACAATCATTACTTGAAGGCTGCTTTGCTTATTTTCTTGGGATGGGCACCCTGAAATCTCTGCAGCTCACCCGAGCAAGTTGAAATGCAAGAAGTGCTTCATAGAACCCAGGACTGTTCTCATTAAAGGCATCCATTCGACATTGTTTCTCATCATGGCCTTCAATGGACCTCCAGTGTTCCACGGTGTTCCACGCCGCCGGTGTTCCGCGCCTGAACCCCGAGGAACATTACGCTGGGCGACTCACTGCTGCCAGCGGTCACCATCAACTCACCTGGTCGCACCGCCCCGTAGATTGAACATCATTGCTCAATGATGGTGACCGATTATTGAATCAGGATGCACAATGAGGAGCACAATTATTCAGGATCCTGCCACTAGGAGTGCTTGCCCAATCATGTTGATCCTGAATCATTATGCTCCTGAACAGCATGCCAAGCACAATAACAGTGGCAGCGGAGAATACCTACTGGGTCACAATAACAGTCTAGCAAATACGACAAACATCATTTAGAAATATCTATCTGTCTATCTATCTAGAACATCCACTCACAAAGGTTGACCTCCAGCACCATCAAGGGAAACCGATTCGCAAAACCCTTCGCCCCATCAAGTTAACTGTCCACTCGTAGCTCCGAAAGAAAAGCTCCGACACGTCAAAGAACCGAAAGAACTTGGTGGAACGCCTCCGAACGCCAAAGCGAACCGATCGCACCGCTCGCTGGGCACAGTCTTCGGAAGCCCCAGCCTTCGCCGATCGCCATGATCGGGACGCCACTGGTGCACCAAGTCTCCCAAAGCTCATCCTCAGCAGCCACCCGTCGGTCGGTGGAGCGACAGGACAAGCAGCAAATAGCAGCAAGCACCTCAAAAGGTCCGGCATCAATGTAACTACTATAGAATAGATACTTAGCTCACTTAGATCTACTATATTTAGGTTGTCGTGGTATGTTTGGTGGCACCGCGCATCTTCGCAGTTCTTTCTTTTCCCAACACGCCATAGAGCGATATAGATGTCATCAATATATATATATAATATATATGCAAGTATAAGGTGCGTTCCAGTGATCCCTCTACATGCTTCAGCTTCTCTTGATCATTTTCATCATCTACAGGGTCACAATGAGTCTCACCTTATCTCACCTTCCACTCTGGACTCCACCTCTGAAGGCCTCTCAAGGACCCCAGGTCAAGGTTGACTCACATGGCATCACCTCCCGCCGACCAACCTGTTGAGAATTCAGTGCCATGGATCCCATGATGGATCCCATCGAGACCGGGTCGGCACCGAGTCCCTCGCTGACTCTGCCTACCCCAAGCGTCACCGACTCCCTGCGAAAAGCAAGCTTCTGGGACCTTTCCACGACGGCAAGCGCCACCGTCCTTGTCCCAACCTTTGGTAATCTCGTCCTGTGCGAGGTCTGGGATGGGGAGAGAGCTGGCTAATGACAGAGCAGGGCAGTGAAACTAAGGTAGCTATATAGCTAGTACGATGTATTATGGCTAGAGGCTAGCGGCCTAGCGGCGTGGCCCATCATGGCCCTACACTCGAGTCTAGAGCGGTCAAACCAAATCAACCAATAGAATCCGTTACAAAATGATAGAATCTCTTAGAATCGAACGATTATGACCAATTCATCTTCCTTACTTTATTGTTGATCCACGCTGGTGCAACATGGTGCAACCCCAGGACCAACCAAGCACCTGCAACTCCAACGATTTCTGTCTGGGCCCCCTCGAACCAAATTGACCGGACCAGCAGGCCAGCACCATATAGTGCTTCTGCTTGCTCCCAGCGGAGTGTTGGGAGGCCCTTTGACCAACGGAAACGGACCGTTTTCGATGCCCGCGAGCCAAACGGATGGCTCCTCTTCTTGCAGGATCTGCACGCTTCGTTGCAACTCCATGAGCCACTCTCTTTGTGTCGCACTGTCGGGCGCGTGGAACACCAGGGATTGTCCTGCCAGGTTCGCATCGAATGACAGCGCAGGACAACACCGACATGACATGAGTTGTTTGACACGGAACACTCCGGAGGAGAGAAACAACTGAGGCCAAACAAAGGGAATACAAACAGGATCAAACAGGCTCCTTCTGCAAACCAAACAGGCTAGCAGCAATGATGTTCATGCCGGCATGGAAAGGAAGAAACGGCTCTACAGGCTCTACGCAAGAAGTCGGGCAGCCATGTATTAAACTTTTTTCCATAGGAACAGGCCATATGTTGGACAGTTCGTCCTGCAAAAGAGGTGGTTCTAAGTGCGCATGTCATTGTGAATGAGTCTTGACGAGTGGCTTCACGACATGTGTTGCATCAGTGAAAGCCATTCTAGCCATGCCAGGCATTTGTTTGCAAAACATTGCAACACATGGTTGCAAGACATGTTCACACCTCCATGGGTCATCATAGGAACAGTCATGGGAACGCGTCAACACTGAGTCCAGTAATCGAGTAATCATTTGCTATCGTAAAGGCAGCTTTGTGATGGCATAGGCACACCTTTACTATGCGGCCGGATCCTCTATATGTATATATATATATATCCATGTGATGGGTTTGCTAGTACTACGCAAAAAAAACTAAGCCAAGATGCCATCCTTTGATATTGGCTTTGTAAATCCTGGTCCTCGGCTGGGATCCTCCAAGCTGAAACAATCCTGGACAAGCTGCCAAGACCCATCTTGTGGGGACGGACTACGGAGCCCCAGGCGGACTCCGAAGTTTGCATCGACCAGTCAAAGGACCACAATAAATTCAACAACATTGGTGATTCAAAACATGACCAGTCTTAGTGAGCCCTTGGTGTCTTCAACAGAACTCATCAGAATTCAACCACCTTGTTCTGGCGACCCAAAAATGCTTCCGAAAGGGCGTGCCTCCACCTGATTGGGGGTGCTGGAAAGCCCAATTCCAACCCACAGTAAGAATACAGTGCACGCATGTCTGCACGTACCGACCATGTGGGACGATGTGGAACCTGGTTCAGGCCCTCGTTTGCAAACACTCCCCCTGAATTGTTGCTCAGGATCTCTGATGGATGACCCCTGAATACATCTGAATACCACCTGCTATAGCCATCGTCATTCTTGCTTCCATGACCTTTCAAGAGTGATCCTATGAGTCTGGAGCAGCTCTAATGATGCGCCGGCATCGCATGTCTGCGGATTGGCCTTTTTCCAATGCACGATTGGCATAATTGTCTTGCATGCTTCATCGTCATCCCCGTTCTAAGAAACCTCACAAGGAGATCACAAGGAAATGGTCTTCTTGGTGCTCAGCTTGCCCAGTTTGTGTTGCAGCTTAACGCACACTGACGTGAGATTGTCATCCTTCTCATGATGTGGGGAAGGTGGCCCAATTGCTTTGCCATTGCCGCTGCGCCACATCCTTCGCCCCAGGCTTTGGCGTGCCTGCGCTGCCATTGGATGCTCTACCGAACCCATCACAGGCTGTGGGCCCGGCATCCTCACTGCGGGAGCTGGCGGCTGTGCGGGAGATGGAGCACTAGCGGGCTGAACCGTCGGCGTGTAGCTAGGTGGCCGGGAGACCGGTGGGGCCCCCACCGTGCTGCGAACGCCTGGCATCTTTGGGAATGGCGCCAGTAAAGGCTGTGATGCCGGCTGCGGTGGCTGTGGTGGGCAAAAGGAGCGCTGGGGCGTGGGGACGCTTGGGGGGTTTGGCGGTGTGGTGCCAGATCCACTTAGGGAAGGCCTCCCGGTTGGCCCGTTCTCACTCACTGGTTTCAATGGAAATGGTGGTGCAAAGGGCCCTTGGGGCGTCGAGCATGCCGAGGTTGGTTGGGAGCGGCGCGGCGAGCGCCAGGCGGCTTGGACCCCAGGAGTCCAGCTGCTGTTGGAGATCGCATTCCTCACATCGGGGACAAAAACAGTTCAGTTCCACTACCATGTGTACCCAAGGGGCAAATACCAAAATACCTTAACTTAAAATACACCCTGGAAAATTAACATGGAACCTGAAAACCACTGGGTTGCAAAGGAAAATAGTCTTCTAGAGTTCCATTCTCAGGTTCCATGTTAGTGAGTCGGAGTGTAATGATTAATGACTCCATCTACATGTACAGTGGGGGGGTACCATGTCATCCAATTGTAGGAACCACAAAGGCACACACGTATGTTGGCCGGAGGTTTGGAATGGTTTGGACTGACGGACGGGGTATGAGATCCACAGGGGGGGCTTGCAAATATCGCACCCGCCGCATCCCGATCTTCCAATTGCATGATCCATTTATTTATTTCATTGAACCTGATCAATGTATGCTCTTTGCAACCGAAGATTCTGTGGGCTGGCAACCCAATGTTGGGCAGTCATGCCGGGAGCCACCTGAACAGTGATATGTTGCGATGGCACCACCTGGGCATCACTGAAAGACCATCTCATCCTTTGAGGGATATTCGCAGGCACTTGCCTGCAAGGAATTCGCGGTGTCAAAGTCACAGCACTGCGATTTGCAGCAAACTTTGGGTCCGGCGCACTCAGAATGTACCCCGTGGATGCTTCTGATATCATCCTCCTCCCAGGTTCTTGGGAGAGCATCTGGAGAAACAGGCAGGCACATATTCACAACAATCAATAGGCAGGGGTATTAAAACGTGTTCACTTTACACCACATCCAGGGCCCTTGAAAATTCAACAACAACTGTGCAAAACAACTTCCCCATCTTGCTGTACCCAGTGCTGTACCCCCAAAACACCTGATATCGAAAGCTTTTGAAGCTTTTGCTGCGCCCTCCTCGGCTGCGCGGGTGGAGCGGAGCTGGTCCGGACCAGGGGAGTCGCTGCATTGTCGTCACCTTTTTGGAGTCAAGGCTCACAAATCCATTTCATGAAACATTGTCAAAATGACAATTTATTTATTGAACATATGCATTTATATAGTATATTAGCTGAAATTACTTTAATAAACAAAATATTCCACCATTCCACGATATTGATATATAATATGCAATATATTCATTATTAGTTTGTGGTATTAGTTTTTTTTGATAGGCTGTACTTATATAAGCACGCATGTTAAAAGATGTGGTTAGTTTTGGTCTAGAATTGTTAGTTTGATATTTTGTAATCAGTTAATTAGTCGCGGCAAATCTCTTTCAGTTTAAGCCTGTACATGGTTGCATGTTGTATTTATATATTGCATTATATTGTCTATATGGTACCAAGCATAGATGATTCTAGCCCAAAATGTGTTTCTATGCTGCAGAAAGAAAAAACATGCAGTACCATGTGTCACGCAGGCCTTTGTGCAACCTGCCCCCTTGTCGGGCTCCTTTGAATTCAAACTCTTTCGAAACTATGATGCAGTAATCTAAGACTATGACTCATCTCCTCAAAAAAAAGGAGGAGGCCTCAAACTCCCAGGTTTTGAGAATGACTGTCGTGGTCCCTGCCCTCCGGTGATTGCGTTGGGGTCCCCTGCATCCGATTCTTGAACCCAAGAACCCTCTGAACGATTCTCAGGACCAGGGTTTGGCTGAATCTCGAAAGTCTGGATCCATGAAAGGACACCCTGTTCCACCACCTGCTGTTTCGGGCCGTGCATCGCCGTGCTCATTCAGTCTCCCCACCTGGTGGATCTGGACCTGCGAACTCGTGCTCGGCTGCTTTCTCCACCTCGAAGGCCCCATGCAGCAGCTGCGCAGCTCGCCGGTACCGCTCCGGCCGTGCGGAGAACGACGACGGAGAGGAACCTGCCGAAGTGGAAGCTGGGCCGCTGATGGCCTGGTCTGCTGCACGGGCGGAACCAAAAAGAGAGGGACATGGAACAAAATCGACCAGGAGAAAACCAATATGGATGTGCGAGCAATAGACCAACCGGAATCTAGAGTATTTAATTAAATCATATGATTGTTTGCAATAATGGAGCTTCAATCATCACAATGTTATAGGTTTGAATCAAGGGAATGCACTGTCAGAGCTTGAGCAACAAGTATACAAGCCTATATAAATATGTAGTTATATATATACATATGTATGTATATAGCAGTCGATTGGTGATGGTGTTTTTTGGCTTTGGTGCGAGCCGTTTATCTTTGATTGATGTGTGAGTTCCCATGTGCTCACCCCCGATGTTTGTGTCATGTTTATGTTTTTTTAAGGCTGAGTGACTCACGAAAACCAACGACAATCACCGGGACGGACCGATCTCCAGACCCTCCGGACCTTGACCTCTTCACCCAGTTCTGTGGCGCTCAGCGCGAGGACGTCCTCGCAGGCGGGTAGTCGACCCGCGTGCACCTGGGAGGATTTGTCGGACCAGCCGCAAAGTGGGTCGGCATATGTCCAGACTTAGATGGCCATATTTGTTCAATCTTTTCCAAGATGCTGGGCAGGTGCCCGAAATCAATGATAGTGAACCTACCGCAGTATCAAGTCTACAGAAGGGGTGCTCTCACCGCGTGAGAGCGCTCCTTCCTTTATATAATTCACCATTTGTGTGAAGTTTGTTTTGCACTGTTGCTTCAACCCAACGTTTGTCAGCAACTTTGTTTTTCAAACAAACTTGCAAAATTGGGAAGAGTGAAACAGTTATGACAGGACTTGCCCCCGCCCCTCCCCTGGTCTGTGCAGAACTGTATTTTCTTGTCATTTGTGCTTTGCCTTCGGAAGTCCAATTTCCACCAACTTCACCATTTTGCACGTCCAATTCACTTTGCGGGGACCTGGGGCTTGTTGGAAAACCAAGGCCTTGCAAAGGCCTGATGAGCAAGTGCTGAAGCCAAGGCCTCCAGTTCTGAGTCCCTGCCCTCAGTGGCACTTGTTTGGTGTGCATCTCACCTTACCAAAAGCCTCCTCCATCATATCATGCATCCTTCTCCTTTGTGCACTTCTCGTCTTTGAGAAGATTCTGACGGTATAATGCATCCCACCCTATCCAGAACCGTGTCCATTAAAGGCTGTTTCCCCTCTTCTTTTTTTTACAATGTTCATCCTAGATAAGACTTTGACCATACGAAAGTGCAAATATAGGAGCACGGAGTCCTCCTTCAGGGGAGATATTAGTTTTAATATACAAAAGGTAGTTCCTTTGTAATGGTCACAGCTTTGCTTAATAGGATTTATTTCTAAAGTTGTCCCAACCATGCATGTTGGCCTGTGCCGACGCCAATATGTTTTCCAGGAGTGTTCTAGAAGCTAAAGGAGCAGCAGAACGATAAGGAAAAGGAGTGCAGCAGAGGGAGAGAGGGGGACGAGGAGAGAGGGAGAGAGGACGAGAGTGCATAAGGAGAAGGAGCAAAGTGGAGGAGAGGGGTAGAGGGGAAAAGGAAAAAGGTATGCTACATTATCTGCTACAATGGAATGGCCCCTTCCTGTTCTAAATCTTGCCCACTAATTGGCTCACAGAAGGTGTGCTATGATATATGCTACATTGCAATGGCCCCTTTCTCCACGGATCTTTTTCTATATATATATACTCAATGGTAAATAACCTGATAAGGGCCCAGATGCGTGACAAGGTAGCTTCCGAGGCACAAAAGTCAAAGCAAAAGCAGAAACAGGAGCAAAAGCAAAAACACTACTGGAAACACAAGCCCAAAACTGTCCGGGAAAACAAACAAACGCATATTCCCACCCTTAGTGAACAATTGCTCTTTGGCAAAGATGATGATTAAACAAATGGCTGCTTGATCTGTTTGAATCCCAGGGTATATACATATATATGTTAGGGTATATATATATGTATTCGTATGTATATATTATATAATATAGTAGGACATAATGAGGCCAATAATGCCATTATCTTTTTCCTACTGCATCACCTGCACTATGACATACTATGACTATGTATTAATACGATATATACTGTATATAACTATATACACATATTCCCCCTAATGCAATAACCAGCTTTGCTCCGGGGTCAGCTCTATACATACTTCATGCGCTGACCCCGGGTCTGGGATGAATGTGAGCGGAACTTGTGGGGGAGCTCGGGGACTCAGCGACTCAACTGCCCCAGCCACTTTGGGTGCTAGCTCCGGCTGCAGGTCCACGTCCGCATCCGCATCCACGCCGGCACGTGAGATGGCGGAGGGCAAGGGGCCAGCACCACCGCCCCGCCAAGCTGCCCGGTCTCGGGGCATGACACCCTAAGACTTGAAAGTGGCTGCGAGGATGAACTTGTTTTCTCATGCTTTCTTTTTGCTTGTTTTCGTGCTTGCAGAATTAGGTGTGATGCGATTTGATGATGGATATGGTGGGGCTGTATGGAAAAGAGTTACGGGTTCCACTCTTGCCCACAGGGAATGAAAACTATGGTTGCAGCACACAACAAGTAATTTAACTAAACTCAGTCATCATTAGTCATCATGTGCCACAAATTGATATCATCATGCAACAAATGCCAAATAACAAAAACGCATGACATTTGCAACACCGTGGCGGTCGTTCATGGGTAAGTCCACCAGGAAAGTCCTCGCAAATGCCCCACAGGTGAAGGGCAAAGGACAAGGCAGGGGGGCTCAATGGAGTTCATAGTTCTTTCGGGACCCTTTTCTGGACTCAACATGGGAAGGCACACGGTTGTGCGATCTCGAGATTTCTCTGTCTTGGCCGACTCGGCCCTACAACCGTCACAACCTGGTTCTGAGGGAGCCCACCAAAACTGGCAATTACAGGCCAAAGGCACTGCCAGGGGCAACAAAGTGAGAGAAATGCAGCAAGACTGACAGATTGGATACTATGCAAGCTAGGTCAATCTGTTAGAATGCAAGGAACCCCCGGTGTTGCGTCCGACAACAGGCCGCAAGGTAGACGACAAACAAAACATGTAGCCCCCCCCCCAAAAAAAAATATATATACATATAACTATATATATATATATATCTTGCAATTATCCTTTCCCATCACTGCCAGCTGTTAAACAAACGGTCCTTGATCCTCAATTGATCCGAGCCCGAGCCTTGCTTGAATCCCTCCAGTCCCCGCCTTCACGCCCCCAGTATTCTGTGGCTCGGCCGCCATGCAGCGGCAATAGCGACTCAAAGGCCACAGGATCTCAGTGACGTGGCGGGAATTCCGTGGCAGCAGGTATTGATCAGCAGAGCTGCCAAGGAACCCATTGTAGACGATTCAACCGGACCATTTCAGGTCCATGCTTGAGGCTACCATGAAAAAGAAACACGAGTTACAATCACCAAGCTCAGGGAAACGAGAACAAATCACCAAGCTCATCTCCCTTACATCATGTCGAGCATGTTGCGCATGTTGAATGGTGCACTACTCCATGCTAGTCCTATATATATATATAGCCATAGTTCTGAATCCCAAATTGATGCAAAACGCTTACAAGATTTTGTCAAAAAGAAACCATCATATATTCTGCTTGGTATTTCTTTTAAGGCCCTCACTGCTTGCTGCTCCAAGCCATCCACCTGCACGAGTGGCGGTGCATCGAGCACGTCACGGCTGGGCCGGCAAGAGCCATCGGGCCCTCGAGCCGTGCCAAAGCCGGACCAATCAACCGCTGATAGTCAGGAGAGGAGAATCATATTCCATCATCTTCCTACCAAAAGGCGCTTAGGAGACTCATCCCTTCAGATCCCTTCACCTGACACTCCAGTCACCTTGCCCTTCGCCTCGGAGGCCTCGCGCTGGCGCTTCAGTTGCCTTGGAGGCGTCCCTTGACCGGAAGGTCCGTGCAAAAGCTCGTGGGGCACGTGGCTGTGTCTCTATTCAGGGATCTTTTTAGGGCCGCACACCTTGAATACAAAACATCCAGGGGGTGTTCATCTCGGGTTTTGGAATTGGGTTTTCCTTGGGAACCTGGGGTTTGCGTTTTTTATGCGTGTTCAAGCATTTCCCGGATTTTAGGACGTGCATATAATATACTGTTGCGATCTGTTGCGGCAATATGTTGCTTGGGTATCAAGAATAGTGGGCCTGAACTTTCCCCGGGGAATTTCAATAACGTGTCAACAAAACATACAATCGATTGTAATCCAACAACATATTTCAATCGGACAACCACTCGGTTCGTCCACCGTGTCAAGAAATACATTATCGGATACTTTCGGCTTTACCTCAGCAGGCAAACTGGGAGAATACAAGGGGCTTTCAACAAAGAAACATTGGTATTTTTCAAATCAATTTAACCAAAGAACAGTTAGGATTCAGGCTGGCGGGGTCGGGGGTGGCCCAAACCATCTTTCGGATCTGAGCCAAGATTTAAGACCTGCCAAGTTGCAGTCTTCCCTGCGAGAGCCTCACTGAAACACTGCGCCAACAAAAGAGCCGCTCAGCATCTTGCACGTCTGCAAAGCCCTCGGCGACCGTGTCACAGTGTCAAAGCACCTCCCTGGATGACTGGCGCACGCACGCTATTGTTGTGTTGGTGCCATTGGAAGCAAGCCAACTTAGCACCAAACCGTTCACCAAGCGAAAGCTCTGACCAGTGTTCCAACCCTCAAGTCGTGTCCTGTTTGGTGGAGATCCCACTGCTGTCTTTTCCCAAGACAAGGCGCACGAAGCTCCAGTTGTTGTGACTTTTCCGGATGGTCTCGAGAGCTCCGCGAAACCACCTGAAAAACTGGCACAAGTGGTGGAAGGGCACAGCTCGTTCTTCAACAAGACCTTTTGCAGCTGTTACAGTAGCGGGTCAACACACACACACATAGTGTTTTTCTGTTGATCGCTCTTCAATCCCTCCGTTCCTGCCTGCTGGAGTCCGAGGCCAATGCACACTTCTGCCTGCATGAGTCTGAGTAGTGAGCCAGAACCGCAAAGAATAGTAATAAAATAAGTGAATATGATTGAATATGTAAACAAATGGAGTCATTAATCATTACACTCCAACTCACTAACATGGAAGTGGAAAATGGCTCGTTGGATTACTATTCTCCTCTACAAACAGGTAGTTGTCCACTCTACTTCCATGTGATGTGTTCGTCAAAGGGTAAGTCGTTTGTCAATCTCAGTCGTTTGGCACATCTTGGCACTTCAAGAAGCTACTAGTAACAAGGGCATCGCTATTGGTAACTAGGGCATCGCTACCAGTAGCGATGCCCTAGCTGCTAATAGCGATGCCGCATGCCCCTGTTACCCATTCAGTCAGAACGTTTATCAGGGGCCAGGGGTCGCCACCCGGATGCATCTTTATCGGTTCAGGATGCATGACAAATGGGTTGCAATTCATTCGTCAATGGTGACAAACATGTCCAAGGCATTCCCTTTGCCGCATTTGCCCGAAGAAAACACAGATTTACAGGGTATTCATGATATACTGATATACTGACCATTTCAATATTTGGGTCTCAGATCCGGTCGATATCCCGAGTTGGGTGGCCTCGGTGCCCAAAACAGCGGCTCCACCGGGGCAGAGCTGCGCCGCTGGCTGTTGTGCAGAGTCACCTCGGCGGATGGCATCAAAGGTAATGCGCACACAGGATTATATAAGTATCCACCCCCTATTAATCAATCCCAGCTCGACCCCCCCCAAGACTAAACTAATTTAAAATCTAGATTTCCACCTTGGCACCCCCCTAATACTTTTTTCCTGGGCAGAAACCTCCCCCTTATTAATCAATCCCAGCTGCCCCAGAAAATTGTTGTTTCCGTACACATGTTTATAACTATATGAGTTCCTTTTTTTCCCGAATGCGTAGCGAAGGGTTCCCGTTTATAGTTGGGGGTCTGGGGGTTGGAGCTGTGTTTGCATGGCTTGCGTCGTGTCGTCGTTTGTCGTCGTTTGTCGTCGTTTGTCGTCATCTCTCGTCGTCTGTCGTGGTCGTGTCGTCGTCGTCGCGTCTCAAATTTGCTGCCATTGGGGGAAGCTTTTGCAAGTGACTTTTCATGGATGTGTCACGTGTCAGTTTGCGCCGCTATTCCATTGTGATTTGCATGACACCGACACGTCGCGCAAGAAACGTGATGCATTTCGCTGCACAGGCGCAGCGTTTTGTGGGATCCGCAGATTGCTGCGCAGTTCCATTGGGATTAGCGTTTGGAGAGTCGTGTTTTTGGGGTGTTGGATGTGGCCGTGCCATTGGGATTTGCGTTTCAGGGTGTGGCATCGAAGCTCGGTTTTCGTGACAAGTCTCAGCTGAAATGGCGATTTTGGTGGATGGGAGTGTGCTCTGAGCCGGTCGAAATCATTCCAAACGTGTGGTGCGGTGCAAATTTTGTTGAAGCTCACATGCGATGATATTGTCACTTTTCGTGGCAGGCGCAGGACTTCGTGCGGGTTTTGAAGCGTGGAAGTGCGATTCTCGTGGCAGACGCAGGGAATCGTGAGGTTGCGAGGTGTGAGGGAGGTAACATTTCGTGGCAGGCGCAGTACTTTGTGTGCGTTAGACGTGTGGATGGGGAAAGATTCGTGGCAGGCGCAGGGAATCGTGAGGTTGTGAGTTGTGGTAGAGGTGAATGTCGCTGTCACATTGAGCGGATGTTGTTTGGAGGGGCTGGAATCGCGAAACTGCTTGGCAGGGCTGCGTGATGTGTGCTCCGATGGGTGTTTTCGCTTGACTTTTGGAGGAAGTCTCGTACGAAGCGCTCGTTTTGGAGACTTGACGCGCAACCCTCTGCGGAGATCGTGCGTGTCGAGTGTGCGAAATGCAGGCGAGAGTGCGATTTGTCCCATGCGCGCGCAACCCTCTGCGGAGATCGCGCGTGTCGAGTGCGCGAAATGCAGGCGAGAGTGCGATTTGTTCCATGCGCGCGCAACCCTCTGCGGAGATCGTGCGTGTCGAGTGCGCGAAATGCAGGCGACCACTGGCGACTTTGTAGTACAACTTTAGTACGCGGGGTATCTGTGGAGCTGGAAGATGAGAACTGGTGACTTGGTAGTACAACTTTAGTACGCGGAGCAATCTGTGGAGCTGGAAGCTGAGAACTGGCGACTTTGTAGTACAACTTTAGTACGCGGAGTATCTGGGGAGCTGGAAGCTGAGAACTGGCGACCTTGTAGTACAACTTTAGTACGCGGAGTATCTGGGGAGCTGGAAGAGAGTCCCACAAGAGTGTCCCGCAACAGTGTCCCACCAGAGTGTCTCACAAGAGTGTCCCTTAAGAGTGTCCTACAGGAGTATCCCACAAGAGTGTCCCACAAGAGTGTCCCACAAGAGTGTCCTACAAGAGTGTCCTGCAAGAGTGACCCACAAGAGTGTCCCACAAGAGTTTCCTGCAAGAGTGACCCACAAGAGTGTCCCACAAGAGTGTCCTACAAGAGTGTCCCAGAAGAGTGTCCCACAAGAGTGTCCTACAAGAGTGTCATTTGGACATATTAGTTTTTCGAACGTGTTTGCATTCGGGTTCGTGGGTTCCATCTTGTTTACTTTCTTTTTTGCTAGTATCCAATGTCTTCTGGTCCATGGTGAAACTGATCATCAGGTCCAGATCCTCATATCATCCATCATCAGGTCATCACCTTTATTCGGGGATGATGTGGTCCCCCAATACCTCCAATCTCAGACCTTGTTGACCTTGAATCGGTGTTGCCATTACAGAACTGACGAAAATGCCACGTGGAACATCCAAAAAGTTTTGGTGGTTTGATGTGGTTTGGTAGTTTTTCGAGGCGTCCAAGGTCGTTCAGCTTTCAGCGACGACTGATGAGTCCAACCACTGGTCGACACGTTCGTCCGGGCGGTCCGGTCGATGACGCGAGCGGTTTTTCCCGTCGTCCAAGGTCCACACGTTCGACACGTTCAGCGACTTGAAGCGTCAAGCCGGTCTTGTTGAACAGAAGGCACCTTGGATGCGTCCACCGAACAACGGATTGCCCCGGCCGTTCTGCGAACGGTTGGCCCAGTCCCGACAGTCTGACCTCGGGGGACTGACTGACGTCGAGGAATCCAGTCCTAAAGGACGAAGGCCGTGCCCATCTCGCATGTTGTGCTTCAAATCTTAGCCACTGGCAGAAACCCAAAGACGCATGGTGCGATGCTGGCTGCTGACCCACGGGGGTATATGATCGCAACCGGCTTGAAGTGATGACTGCTTGTTTCATGAGTTCTACCAAGGACCAAGAAAGTTCTACCAAGGCACTTTCCAGTAATCACCATCTCAGGACTTTGTCCAGCTTGCCAGGAACAGTGAAGGGAGCAGCTCATGTTGGAAGAAAGCCTCAACTGGTCCATCTTCAGCTCCTGGCCGCATGAAACCGATCATGGAATCTGGTGTCCAACACTATCCAACGCTCACCTGTCACCAATGTGGCCATTCAAACGGTCCACCCCGTCCTTGAACTTGGAGCGGTCACTTAACGCTTCGGCCGGCAAATCCTCAGTGCAAATCGCACAGCTCTGCAGCGGCACCAAATTGGAGGAATACTCTCAGCATCAGCGTCAGTCATTCCGCATCATTCATAATTGCATGCGAAAAAATAATGCACTCCCCGAAACAAAATGACTCATGCTTGAGCGGTTGGACCGGCTAGGACATTGTGTCAAAGCAAGTCCGCCACCGGGGTTCTTTGCTGCCATGTTTGACCTGGGGCCCTCTGACTGGTGCAGGGCGGCTCACCACTGGTGGGCCCTGGGTCTGGCCGTTTCGTTCCAACCGCTGGGTGCCCAGACCAGGACCTGTGGCTCTTCGCCCTCCACAGCCAGGAGCAGCTTGCCACCGAAGGGCGATCGCCCGAAGTCGGCGGTGCCTCTGCCAGTGGTCGGTTGGCGGTCTCAGGAGGTGCTTCTCAGGGAGGTGAACTGATCTAGAAGTGGTAGGTGTCTCCTGAGTGAGTACTTGCCGTGTGTTGGTCAGAAATGTGCAACCATTGCATACCTTGTTGTATCAACATACATCAAACTCGTGTGACATGCCAAAATGAACACCCCTTGACCGTAATCACGGTTTTGCAGCCGCTTCGAGGGACCCAGTGAATTCACTTCAATTCACTCCATTTAATGATGGCTGGGGCCCCAACCGCTCCCTCTGTGAGACCCACACCTCCCGGTTCCACGTCGCAATGTTCATCCCGTATCTTCTCCCGCTGCAAGACGACCAACAACTTCACGGGCAAGGAGTTGACCACCCGCAAGCCAGGAAGAAGCAGGAGCCTTAAAAACCAAACATGTCAAGCAAACATCATCCTCAAAAGCACAGGTGAACCGTCTACAGTATATGGGCCACTAGATGCCACTGAGCTTAGTGAAGAAGGTGGTGCATTGGCCACATTCACTAGCCTTGAGCCTTATTTGAAGCGCTGCAGCACACAACATTAGGCTTTCACTAATGATAGGCCTCCAAAAATCTCAAACAATCTCAAACAGTGAACCGCCGGCCTCAACACTACCTCATCATGGACCCAACGGGGAGGGTTCAACAAAGCCCTTCAATACGTGAGACGTCGTTGGAATCCACCACTGCTGATCAAGTCACGTAAAGCGCTGCAAGGTGGTCTTCTCTGGACCGGAGCCTCCCGCTGGAGCGCATACAGTAGTCTATTGCATAGCTGAAAAAGCACACCAGGGCGGGTTGCCAAATGGCAGCATTCCTCATTCCCGTCAAGATCACTTCAAGACAAATCGAGCTACAACTACTACAGCACATGTATATATATAATATGTATAACTGTACATAACTACATATCTAAGAATCTAACATACTCTATATAACCATATCTAACCCAACGGAGGTTGCAACATGCACAAACTCACCCTGACATGACTCTGGTCTCATGTTGAGCCTCATGGGACCCGGGGACCCCTCCAGGTCAGTTTGGGGGAAAGCAAGGAGTTTTCGCGAGTTCCGACGAAAAGCAACTGGTCTCATGAATTCAATGCACAAGTCGTCCTCGATCTAAACAGCACGCACATGGCGCCAATTACAGCTACTGACTGTACCTTTGGAAGATCATTGTGACCACTGCAGCCACTCTAAAACAGGTCTGCTGGTTGGATAGTGGTACTGTTATATGGTACATCAAGGTGCACCCCAGGTGATTGTCACTATGCCAAACTCATGCAGGTGTTGTCCAACTGGGACAAATACGAGCCTCAAACACAAGGCCCCAACACTAGGCCTTGTATGTCCAACACGGCGTGTCTTTCTCCACTCCACTCATCACTCTGCCCAAACCAGTTGCCTTTCCCCAGACCGGTGCCTGTGATACTGGTGGTCTCCAAGGCCAAGCCCAAGGAGCGCCGCAGCTCCAACTCCTCCACCGCCCCCCTTCACCGGCGAGAAAAGCCACCCGAAACCCCGGTGGAACGAGGAAATGACTCCAATGACTTCGGAAAAAGCATATGAATGTATTTTGACTCATATCCATAGGGGCGTCGTCAATGACTGAGGAGGAAATGACTCAAATGAATATTGTCTTAACATGTCTTAACAAAGTTCCGTGAAGTCATTCTTTGTCGAACCAACCTAATGAATGTACGATGTTTGTTAAAACTTATCATGACAAATCAATGGATATAACACACTGAAACACACAGTTTCAACAAACATCGTGCAAAAATAGTCCAATCATGTCCAATCCCAAATCGGACCAACTGGACTCCAACCAATGGCTAGCTGGATGGCGGATTGCCTTCGATGTCCAAAAAACTACTGCTGCTACTGGGTTGGGATATCCCCCACATCTTTTTGCCTCCTTTCCTTTGACAGATTGTTCCCTCCTCTCGTCCGGAGCGGAGGATGGAGCCACCTAACCTTGCAAAGAGTTCCCGCGGCGTGGAGGGGTCAGGGTGCAAAACTTCGGTTCCCGCAAGGCACCCACCGGTTATATAAAGGTATAAAGGTTATCCACAGACTGAGCAGGCCACGTGTGAGGAGAGGCCTTTTCAAGATGAGAGTTGGACTGCCCAAGGTCTCAAGAAACCTGATTTTGAATGACAGGCATCCGACAAGCATGTTATATAAATGGATTTCGCTGTAAATTCCCTGACATGGACCTCAACCTGAACAGCCAGTGCCAACAAATTGGAATGGTGGACTCTGACTCCCTAACATGGAAGTCAATCTGGCTGGGAAAATCACATATGGAACAGGAGGTGGTCCATATCTATGTTGGTGAGCCAGAATGAGCGGCCTCACAAATAATGGATAATAGCCTAATAGCTTCATGACCAGTCCGGTGGCGTGTTTCAGTTCGGAATGGCCTCATGGACCAACATCTTTCTCTTGGGCTCCGAGCGGGAAAGCGAAGGCCAATGAGCAATGATTCTTCTTGGGTGGTATGGCTTCTGCAAGCACCTCTGGCAGCAATGACCACCAAGAACTGGGCGGACATTGTTTCCTTTACTAAGCCGCTTGTAGCTGTTTGTTTTTTTTGTTGGGTGATGTTAATGCGACAGCGCAAGTGCTTGAGCATCCTTGTGCCAGACTGTGGCAGTCTTGGGAAAGACTTTTCCGCTCCTTCCAAACTGTAACTCTCCAGGCTGCTCGTGCTCGCACCTGCCAAAAGTGTTGTCCAAATCCATGAGACTCGGTGTTCACTTTCTGCAGCATGTGGAGCGGAACCTGGAAGGTGCCGCCTGCCACGGTCACTCAGGGTGCGCGAGGTGACTCAGGAAGCAAACCTGTTCCTTGCCACAAGCTAGACATTGCATACATCTCCACGGTTTACAAGAAGAAACATGCTTAATTAATGTGTTTGACATGTTTCGACCCAGTAAAGCAACAAGACACCTCACCAATTAACGTCACGAATCTCAATTTAATCCAACGGAATGAAGGCAAAACCTGTAAGTGAATGGTCGTGCAAAAACAAACAAAAGGAATCTAAACGATGCATAAACGATATTACTACCACCTTTAAACATAGATCGACACTTAGATCGACTTAAACGGAAACCATGATGTTACAGTAAATAAACGACGTCTTCATCTTTTTCTGTGCGATACGTTGCTGACCTTTTCCCGACATTTCCCCGTTCCACCTGGCGGGACGATGGCCACCTTTGGCTCCAGGTTGGGAGCTGCCCAGGCCGCCGAGGCGCGCGTCAATCCGAAGATGCCCTGTCAGCGCGCGGGGAAACCGCCGACGGCTGCCGGTGCGGTCGCTCGCTCCGCCGGGGCTCCGGGCCATTTGAGCTGCCACGGCGTGGTTTCCGTAGGGCGGATGCAAATGGAGGTGGAGAGGCAACTGTGTACCATTCCTTAGGAAGATGTGCCAGGGAAGTCCCCGAGAGCTCTGAGCTTCGGCCGAGGTGGGGCCCAAAGTAATCACATTCAACACAAAAAAGGTGCAATCTGTCTGTTTCAATCGGTTCCCTATGGTTCCCTTCTCATGTCCTCTGCTTTGAACAAGTCCATCCATGGCTCTGCAGCTCCAAGGGGGGCAGCAGTTCCAGAAGCGCTTGACCTTGCCTTGGCTGTCAGGGGTTGTGACCAGGTCTGACGGGCGAGATGCGACAGCTGGGTCCAACACGGTCCAAGGAAATGGCTCCGGATCCGCCATCTGCAACACATCCCCTCGTTCTTGCGATATCGTTTTATAAGACCTAACCAAGGGGCAAACTGCGCCACATAAATACTGTAACAAGTCCTGCTCACGGTCAGTTCAGAAAGCAAAATCCTGGTGCCGAAAAGGCGCGGGCCGATGGACAAGGAAGCAGTTAGGCAGCCTGGGCAATCTGCGCCGAGTGAGGGAGGCTCACAGCACTGGAACCCAGTTCCTGTATCCATATAGATTTTGAGTTACACATCCCTTTGTTGTAGTAGGGAACTGATGGTAGTCTGTCGTCAACATGGGACCAACCATCGGTTGCTAGCCACCTGAAGCCCCAAACGGCCAATCCACCACTGAAACCGCTGACCATTCTGACCACCTCACGCTCCAAAATCCCTCCTCTCTCTCCTCACTCCCCCCCCAAAACAAAACAGGAAGACATGGTCCGCGCGCCCTCCGGCGCCGTCCGGTCTCCAAGGGGCTTTGCACCTCGCCGCGCTCGGCGCCGCGCTCGGCGCCACGGCTGGACATGATGCCCTGCAGCGCCTTGATGGGCGCACCGCAGCGGCCGAAGCTGCTGAGATCTGGACGGGCCTCTGCCTGAAGCGTCGCGGTCGTTTTGGGATAAATGTCGCGGGCGTTTTGCAGTGTTTTTCAGAGTGGCTGTTGCATCTGGCATCTGCTGTCTGGCCAACTTTTTGGGGATTGAAGCAGATGGTGAGGATGGATCACAGTCATCCTTGTCTCACGATTCTCTGTGCAAGGAAATTGTGAGGCAGGTCCATGGATGCCCATGGAACCCCATTTCCACTCCGGAGTCTTAGCTCAAATCTCCCCAAACATATTCCTACCAGGATCATCCAAGCGATGTCCAAGGGAGATCCATGTGGTGCAGGGCTGTTGGCTGGTCCGAAATGGTCCAAATGTGTCCAACCCTATAAGGATCCTTGGGCCCTCCACAGCAGGGGTTGGACACTCTATAACAGGGGTTTGTACCCTGAAAACCCTTGGTTTTTGAGGGTCCGGATCCTTAGGGCCTTAGGGAAATACTCTCAAATCGAAGCCTCCCCACATTCCTCACATCGATCGGGTGCTCCGACCAAACCGGCAAAGCCCAGGTACGCTCTTGTAGACACTCACTTCGGTCACTCCCACGCAAAGGCTGCATCTCACATCCGGAACCACCACCGTGCTGGGCTGACCATCTGCCTCTAGAACCTGCTGATGCGAAGGCTGCTGCCGAACAGTGAGAGAGGTGCGAACCTGCTGGGATGGTGTCTTTTCTTACATCTTCCTGTAAAACTGAAGACTCAAGCCTTAACAAATCTGATAGGTAAATCTAGTGATCATTCTGCGACTCGTTCATTCCTTCCTGGAGGGTATGTAGGTGGTCTTGTCCTGCACCCTAATCAAAACCATGAGGGTCAAGTTCCTTATGGCTTCGTTCTGGTTTCATCCCTGCTCAGCAAACCCAACTTCACACAGCTTGTCTGGCAGAGTCTAGTGCAAGGTTGCTGTCAAGTATGTTACTTCTTGACCGGCATACACCTAGAGACAACGAGGTGTCAATGAGCTCTGACGACTGCTTCTCGGATCGCATCCAAATGGAAAGCACCGTAGCCCCACCATTGGCACCTTGTTGATCAGCCAAGAAACGCTGGAGAATCCCATCTCTACCCACCTCCTCCAACCGTTTTCCAGCACTCTTTCGGCGACGCCCCAAGCGACGCACCGGCCTCCACAGGTCCAATGCGTTGCTTTGAACCTGTGACCAGGGAGGGTGTGCCGGGACTGGTCGCAGGTGTATTACATGCGCAGGGGACTGGCCGAAACGGAGAGAAGAAGACAGAAACTCCAGTGGCTTGTGCACTGTGCAGTGTATTGGCAATGTGATTTGCTGTATACTGTATACACTAAACTCTCATATATAGGAGTTAAGAAAGGGTACATAGGGGGCTACATGCCCAACATTGGCAGGATTGCCGGGTGTGAGTTGAAAGCTGGCCATGATCGTTGCTTGGTGTCTGGCCACTGGCCAAAGACCAAGCATGGATGAGTCCACTTTGGAGCGTTACAACCACGCACTTCGGTACGGCCCGGAACTCTTCCGCACAGCCTCTTTCAAACCAAACCTCGCCAGGCACCCCGCAGCGGTTTAGTACTTGCAAAGTCCTGCTGCTTTGGCAGCCTGGGCGCTTCGCCGGACGCCACGAGAAGCTTTCTAGAAAGAACCCGTTGGGGACCAGCCGGGCAGGGGGCACCATAATAAATTCATCAATAAGAATAAATACAATATAAATACGACATATATATATATATATCATATATAATATGACTACCCGTGGATCGACAAACGGGGTCACCCCAGCAACGGATGGTTCTGGCATGTTCTGGTGTGCCCAAATTGGAGCTTGATCATGTTGACCACACGGCAGTGCATCACCTTCCAAACTTCAAGTTGCTAGGCTAGTTTTGTGGTGGGTGTAAGAGTGTAAGAAGCTACCACCACCACCACCACCGCCACCGCCACCACCACCAGAAAGCAATCATAATTTTGGGGGTGTATATAACCTTTGGATTCCTTCGGCAAGGAAGCATGGTATATCATTGAAGCATCTTGATCCTCAAAGATCAGCAACCCCGGCGTGTTCTCAACCCAGTTCCATCGGAAAGTAACACAAACACACACACACACAACGTGAGAAGAGCGCAGAAAAGACGAATGAATTGAACAAATGCCCGATGAGTTGCATGGCAATGTCAGCATGGCAAGCGCCCTCACCCCACCACGCATCGAGTCCGGCAGTTAAGGATGTTTGGCTGAGCGAACACATCAAGTCATGCCCAGTCACTTCGCGTTTCTGGTGAATCCTCCTACATCACGCGGTGTTTGGCCCACATCGTGTGCGGCTTGGATTGAGATGCGTACAGTGAAGGGGCCATCTCGCTGTTGCTGGGCGTTGGTTCTTGGCGACATGACGACACTGTGACTAAATGACTATAACAGACTACAAATGGAACGGTAGACTATGATAGATCTATATAGGCCCATCACCCCATTCCTGATTCCTTACTAAACCTGCCCACGTTTCACTTTCTCCGCTACTCAGTTCCTTCCACAGTCCTCCGTTCTGCTGGTAGGGCTGTGATTGCTTTCTTGGTCCTGACACAGCTCCCAACATGGATGTTCATCCATTGGAATGGATGAACATCGGTTGGCATCGGCGCCCAGCCGGCTCGGCGACGTACGTGAAAAGCGGCACCCACGGAGCCGAGCCCGTCCGAGCCGAAGACATTCCGTGTGAATCACAAAGCAAACCAACGTGGCTGGTGTATGTACGGCATATATATACAGTATATATACATAACTGGCCAGTCTAGCAAGCGCCCACCTGCGGGCTGTTCTTTCAACATTGAACACCATACAAAGGGTTTAGAAACTGCCAGCCTGTGCAAGCGTTCCTGCAGATGCGCCAGCAGAAGCAGTGTCGACGGACCAAACTACAATCTCAGATGGCTCCTTGGGTTCTGCATGCCGTTGCGCCCCTTTCCTACTCAAATCCAGGATGACAGGACAAATTATGGGTCCCTCGTAAACTACCAGCACTCCATGTCCCGGTGGCATGGGTCGACAATCATCAATTCTTCTCATCTTGACTCTTATCTCGTTGGGCCTTGTATCTGGGTGTATCTGGCTGTTTTGGATAAGGATCCCCCGCACCAAAGATGCAAAATGATCTAGTGTGACTCAGTGTGACCCAGTTGCCGACACTTGGCCAGCCCGCTGCTGTGGACACATATGGAAGAAAACATGTCCAATCCATCCCACTGTGGAGGGAACTGAGTGGTTTGGAGAAGAACAATGTGATCAGTGATAATAATCATGGTGTCCAACAGATTCACAACAAATGGACACACACGTGGAAGTGAAAGTTCTGAATGCTGCAGATATTATTCTATTGTATGTTCTTCCTCTACGCCACAAACAGGAGATTATCATGTTTATAGACTTGGAACTGTTGATTCCTGGAATTGCATGCCAAGCTTCTGGCGGATCGCTGCGCGCCTCGATCGCAGTTGCACGAAGTATGGAGGATTGCAGCCAATCATAGTGATTTTCGGGCTCTTATATATATATATATATTTTTTGTATGTCTCTATAAACATCTTTCAAAACTGGCGGTTTTTGACAAAATAAACAATCATCAAACATCCTCACCTTCAGAACAACTCCTTGGACTCTCATTGGGTCATGGACCCCGTGCCAACCAGGTCGAAAGCATCGAACCCACGTGGCTGGCTGTTTCGGCTCCTTCCCCCGTGGCTCTACCTGGCCTAGTCGGTCAGGCCACACGGAGAAGGCCTTTATCCGATGGATATGGGCCACTGGTCTGACCAAGGCACAGGTTTTGGGGTCGAGCCGGGTGCAGTATGACGTGAACCCACTTATCTGGACATCGCAACATGCCAGGCACGCCTCACCCACTCCTTTGGACGAGTCTCTTCAGCTTCCACGAAGAGTTCGAACTGCAACATGTCAGTTTGGTGAAGCTCTGTGACATGCCAACCAGCAGGCAGCATGATCCGCGCCAAGTTCTAGGTCGGTTCCAATGAACCCCAAACAGCGCCCAGTCTAAACTGCAGCTCTGACTACGGATTGATATTTGCAGGACTCAAACACTGCAATAAGCACTCAATAAGCATCAAATTTGAACACAAGCAAGGCCTGCTGGCCTTTGGCACCTTGGGGATTGGCAAGAAAAGCCTTTTGGAAGCTGACCGAAGCGGGCACAGGCCACACAAAAGGCCCCCCTGCCAGGCACGCACAGACCCGTGACCCGTGACCCTTACATCGGCAAGCCCACTCTCCAAACGTTCGCTTTCACCAGGTCCAAAGGCTCGGACCAGTACAACCGATCGGGCGTATGTTGACCTTGTGATCAACTAATGACATGTCCATATAGATTTGTTTGAACATGCTTGGGCTTGGATCACATTGGATCACTGATATTTCAGCGGTCAGCATGGACCACCAGTGCATCCTGGTGGCTTTGGCAGAGTTCAGCTCAAAGGGTATCATCCATTTCGCTTTGTTGGAGCCACCTGATTCTTGTCGCATTGGAGCCACCAAGTTGGCGCGGAGTCTAAGGTCCTTTCATCACTGGCAACATATCTGTATACATCTGTATACCAGGGTCAACAAAACCTTCTAGTCCTAGAGGCAAATCCAACCGAATCTAATAGGTCCAACTTCAGTGCGTGTTTCCCTTCAACACGATTCTTAACATTTCCAAACTAAGCGTGGCAGCGGCACCAAGTATTGAGTTTCATCATGATGAAGCTTAGCGTTTCAGTCTCATCAATGGAGAAATCATGAACCCACACCACCACTGACTGTTCCACCACCTGTGCCTGTCGATGTTTCTCACCAAGCGGCGTCGATCAAGGCCTCTTGGAGGGCCAGTGCCTGGAGCCGTCGGACTCACGGGGCAAGGTCGTTGGCGCGGCAACCGTTGTGCCCGTCGTGCACAGAGCTCAAAGACTTGCAGAAGTAGAGAATTGGATTGGACCACTAGGTCGTCACAAGTCGTTACCATCTGTTCTGGCTTCGCGTCAAAGATGAATACAACAATCTCGTATAAAACAACCAAGAATGGACCCTCTCAAGGTGCCTAAGCACGGTAGATGTTACCTAACGACAAACCATTCCATCCTATTCTGCAACACCGAAGTGCTTGCCACACCCAATTCTGCGTGAGCAGTGACGTTTGGCGGCCGGTTCTGGCAAGGCACTCACTTGAACAATCTCTTCACCAGGCACTTTGGTACCGACCCCAGCTGCATCCTCAAATGGGCAAAATCACGGGGGTGGGGCCAATCAAGGGGGTCAACCTTGCGAAGGTACGCAAAGTAAACCACAGTGCTCTCCTTGGTTCTCCCACATTTGCAATTTCCACCAACCATCAAAATAGGGAATACATCAACTGAAAAGGACGCGATTGTCCTCTGACCCACCTGGACCATCCGTTCGGGGTGTACAATGGAGATCATTGTGTGTAGGGGGTCGAAATCGGCCGCAGGGGTTGACTTTCTCCATGTGGCCAATCATCTTGGGTTTCAGAACATGATCCGCAACTCCAGGCAACAAACTGAACTGGAACGCATCGAATACATTGCAATAAGGAATAAGGGAACATCATAACATCTTTTGACCTGGGGGTTCACCACGGCCATCTTGGGCTGGTTCAGGATATATCAGGACCTTGACCTCTGCACCTCGCGCTCAGCCGTGCAACAGGATCATTCAGGATCAGCTTGAACTCTTGGAGCTTCTCTTGCGTCCTAGGCACATTGGGGAGCCGACGGAGCCGACGTCTGCCCGGGAAAATGAACGGGGATTCAAAGGAGCTGAACATTGAGAGGTTCTTGAAAGGCTTCTTCTTGTTTGAATGGCTGTGCCCTGGCATATTGTTTCACCATGTTTCACCCATTTTCAGCTATCAATGAACTGGATTGTAGCCACAAACCATGCCAAGCACTTGTTCAAGAAAGATTGGAGGGTTTCGTGCCGCCCCCAAAACCAGGCACACATGCCATTTTTTGAGCATATGTGTACCACCAAACCCAGCGGCAAACGTCTCAGGCCCTGCAATAAATGCGCCAGGGGTGCTGTACCTGCAGGGAGTGGAGCTTCGGAGTTCGGGTCGTTCCGGTCACCAGCTGTGCACTTCCGAGGTGGTGGGAGATTGAGATATCACACGTCCATTCAAATGGTATAAACATGTAGAAACCTCCAGGACGGCCGGGCCACCATGGGTCCTTAAGAAATGGGGAGTTGCGCTTTCTGCCCCCTGGAGTCTTGTGGTGATGGTACAGCTTCACTGGCACAAAAGATTGTAACCAAAAACGTACAAAAGTTAAGTATTGCAAGGCCATCACCTGCAAAGAAAGTCCGACAGCCCCCAAGAATTGATTGTAAGATATTGTGGGATTTGTACATCATTCAAAAGGCAACTGACTGACAAAAAAGGTGTTTCTCTTTCCAACGAAGCATCCCATTTCACTGACGTCTACGCCTCTTGCGGCAGCGCAAAGAGAGAGAGAGAGAGAGAGCGCCCGCGCCTCCGGCACTTTGAGAGATGTCACCTCTGAACGCATCCGGATCCTGCACCGTTCCCACGTGTGACATGAGCTGAACGGAAAGAATTGGACTCCAAACCTATCACGCCCCGGAAACACTCAGTTGCTACTGTTCACTGAGGTGGGTCCCACTTGCGTGTCTCAAATCGAAACGATATCGACATCGAAACAAATCTACCTAGAAACACCAGGCGAAACCTCTGAATGTTCCCAGAGTATCCCAGAGTGGATTCTCCATTGCGGCGCCCCTCCTCCGGAGGCATCAGCGTTCGCACGATCGGCTTCACACCCAGCAGCAAGGAAGAGGTGACGTTCATCACGAAGTGGCAATCCGCGATGAAGCCTAAACACACGGAGAATCCTTGTTTTGATGGCCTTTTTGGAGTTGGCATGAATCATGGACCCATCGTCATGGATGATGTCTCAACACGCTTATATACATTAAATTGATCTTAATTACGTAATAAGGATGATTGAGGAAAGGAATCACTGCTGAAGAAACGCATCCTTGGTCAAAGGAATGGTCCATAACTTCTCGGACTTCTTCTGTATCTGCTGGCAAACTGTCTGTCTGGACCAGCCCAATGTGATGGATGTAGTCCGAAAGGAACAGCCGCCAACAAATAGGACCATTGGAAGTTCCCGATCACAACTACCATGTTACATATATACAGTATACACCAGTCTATCAATCAAACGCTCAGAATGGTTGAAAACAAGGCTTGCAGTAGACGGACCCATGCAAACCCATGCAAACTCCTGCCATTACAAAGGGGCCAACCGTAGGCCACCACCTTTCAGAGAAGACCCACCTGAGAATCGGTTCATGAAGGACGCCCAACGACGTCTCCTGAATCGCTGCGAACGGTCGAGTTCCTCCAAGCCGAGTGGCGGCAGGTTAAAGCCTTGACACCTGCGGGGCTGTCCACCTCACTCACTGAAGTCAGGTTTGGACCACGTTGTTACTTTACACATGAAACAATATATATATATATATATCGGTCACCGGTTGAGGGCTTCTATGGTTGAGACCTGTTGAAACAGGTCTATACTGTATATATATATAAGTTACAGTATAAGTTACTTTGGGGAGACGATCCTTTTTCAGCGATTCGTCTCAGCCAAAAGAACTGTCTTTCAAACCACACAGCACACGCACTCTGGTGGCCAGGGCACGCACACATTGAAGCCCCAGGATTCCATGATAAACTCGGGATGGTGATGGCAAGGGTTCCTGAGTGAATCGTGGACAGCCTGTCTGAAACCTCTGAACACCACAGCTATCACTGCAACATGGTGAAGAATGCAAAATCGCTCTTTACATCTCTTCACCTTTCCACCTGTGACAAAGGCTGGTAGGCAAATGTTGGGAATGAATGATGAACTGCCATTTAGAAGCTACAAACTCTGTTCTGCACCTACACCATAGGGCTTTCTCGTCCATGTTGCATGCTGTTGCATGCCGTCGCATTCTGTTGCATGTGTGGTCTCAGTGTCATGAACAGCTCCCATAGGCCACATGAGACCTCTTCATACCTCTTCCAAATGTTTAAGAACATGAATCCCTAAGTTGCGAACAGTGCACCGGCAAAAGCCTTGCGCTCAGACTCTCAGACGAGGCTCATGCAACTGCTAAAGAAGCCTGGCGAAATCGCTGGGGCTGGAAGGGCGAGCAAACAATTCATCCCCGAGGCATGGAATGGCTACAGTGGCGGCTACAGTATCTCCGCAAGCAGTGTCCCTAAACTGATGGACACTGGTGACACCATGCGCGAAAAGAACATGACAATCCAAATGTTCAAGAACCCTCCTGATCCTCCGGTTACACTGCAGGCAATAACGCTGGCAATTACATCCCGTGGCTCCTCGTACCACAATGGTTGCTTTCAGCTGGTCCTCAAAGGACAGGTGTCGATGTCCTGTGCGAACGGTGCCATAGGGGGACGCGTTGATTTCAAAAGCATTGAGGACTCGTGACTCGTGTGCTCAATCAGGTCCCTTCTCATCTAGTTTTTCTGTTCTCGCCTTCTTGAAATACATATGGTCCCTCCGAAGCAGCTTGGGAGCATCCCCTGATATTCAATAGGCCAAGGGGGGACCAATTCTGCATATCAAAGTGATTGCCTCTCAGGAAATCTAAAAAGAAAAACATGTCATCACAGTCATCACTGCCTTGGTCATAATATGTCATAATATGATCAAACTCATCACTTGTTAACTTGTTAATGACTCACACTCAATAATTACCGAATTAAGCATCTGAAGTTGACCAGATCAAAATCTCCCGACTTGGGGGCAAAGCTGGGCAATAACCCAGTTGACATGAGCAAATCAGTCAGGAATTCTGCTTCAGTTGCCTTTCCAGGCTGAAGCGCTTCGTACTCAGATTTTACTGGATCATTAGAAATTCCCTGCGGAACGGGCACACTTCCCGTGCCTGGAGAGAGCTACCCCTCCAAGGGCAAGTGAAGTTCTGACGTGGAAACACTCTATGAAAATAGTATGATGTAGTGTATATCGGGGCGGCAACTTCCAAACACGAGTCGTGAAAACGCAAGGTATGCGCATTGCATTGCCCATACAAGAATAAGGACCCCGCACAAAGATGCTATTCATCAGATTTGACATAGCTGTGCATGATCAACGCCTTGAATCTGCTAAACGTGGGCTCAACATTTTCTTGATATTCCTTAAGTCTAAGTTCATGTTCACGTCTTCCCGGGTATCCGCCACTGGCAATCCTAGAAAAGTCACCCTCGCCTGTGGCATGCCAATAGGTCAGCTCCAAATCAAAGGCCTTCGAGTCGTCACCTCAGTGTCCACGTGAATTTCGGGCAGCAAAACCCGAGGCCCGCGCACGGACACGCGAAGTTTCAAAAGATTGCGACGGCTCGGAGGAGTTTGTATGGGACGGCCCAGGGGCTGTCCGAAGCTGCGCCCAAACTCAAGCGATGTTGACCCCGCAGCTGGCTGAGTGGGTCCTGCCACGAAAGAATTTGCTCTCAAGTTGGGCGCAACGCAAAAACTAGTCTTGGCATGTTCTGACCGGACTGTCCAGATCCGTCCCCCGAAGCGGTGGTCGAAACGTTCCCGATTCGGAGGCCAGCGAAACGAGCGAAACGCGGATGGCGTCCTCCAGGTTCAGCCTGACAGTCAAAGGGGCTCGGGAGGTGACAAATGATCGGCAAGTGGGGGCTTCTATGCGCTGACGCGCACCTACCGTGGCATACACGATTTGAAGACGTTCTATATATATATATTTTTTTTTTTTTAAAAAAAAAATAAATATATACTATATATACTGATATACTTGACAAATAACGCAAAGAAATTCAAAACATAGAAGCTGAAAAATGTAGGCTCCTCGGTTTTTATGCTCTCTACTAGAATAAATAGATGTATATATATATACTAACCTTGCCGTGGCCTCTATGTCATTATGTAATCCACATCAGATACGCACTAGTAGGCACGCACTGGCCACCTGCCAGTCACTATACCCAGCCAAAGGCTATGGGTCAAACCAGCGACTCACGCACTGGCGCAACTCACTTCACTGCTCCACCGGCTTTTTGCCGGCGAATTCAACGAGTAGGAAAGAGTTCAACGAGTAGGAAAGAGGGACCTGAAAACGGATATGCTGCTATGACTGCTATGCTATGCTATGCTTGCAACATGAATTACAGTCTGCAGAGTTGTTACTTGGCCTGGGACACTGCCCCCAGCCCGGAGCTTGTGGATGATGATTTAGAAGAACCTCTATTTTTGTAGAACCTACTCTTTGCACTGGAGGTTGGATCCCGCTGACAACCTTTATGTTTGATCGTTGAACCATTTCCACATCATCCCCATACCGCCTGAAGCCATCGCAGGCCATCCGCAGCTTGAGTCCGCTGCGATGTCGTGGGCCGGTGCGCCGGCTCTGTGCAGTGGCTGTCTTCTCCTCTCCGTTGAGGGGGTTGGGGTCATCCATATCCCCACTACACCTTGAGTGGCTCAGACCTGCCAGAGCCCGGATCCAGATTCACAAAATGAGACCGGTGGGGCCGGTGGGGTGATGTGGGGTGGTGTTTGGAAGCTTGCTACAGCTGCTCTATGATGTAAATGAATCATATGTATGTCTTCCAGAACCTCCATAGGCAGCTTGCTGGACGTTTCTGGTCATCCAGGACCCATGGATGCGCTTATTAATTCAGTTTGTTCCATGCTTCCATTGCGGTGTCGATCGTGTCATGACCCAGGCCGCATGCTTGTTCGGTTCTCGTCGCTCCCAATCCCGTCTCCTCGGTGATCTGTTGGATTTGACCCGAGTCGGACAAGGCCGCAAACATGAGCTCCCGAGCCGACAGCACAGGGCGATCGGGCCTGGTCCGGTGCACCGCGGGGTCGTTTCCACGAGTGGCGGTGTGGTTCTTCCGTTCATCGGAAGGCTTTGTCGGACATCAAGCAACGACGACTCACGACCTCCATGAAACCTAGTTGTTATTCTGAGGGAAATGGTTGGAGACGTCAGCCAAGCTATGTATCCAGGGTGCCTGCATGTTCCTTGCCTAAAAAAGAACAAGACCTACCTGGATGTGGCACCCTTTAAGGACTGTAACTTCTGAGTCCCGGCCGGGGCGAACCTTTACCTGTACCACTGTACCACATCCACCGGTGAGGAAATCCTTTCTTGGCAAAAGCAACGCTTAACATGTAATGTCCTACTTCACTTCCATTCATTTCTCTTTTTTTTCTGACCAAGCAGCCACGCACGCAACAAAAACAAAAACACAACATCTATCCAACATCTGGGCCAAGGCACTCGATCTCCCAATGAGCGTCCGGTGCCACCTCCGGACGCAAGGTGCTCTCCCACCACTCCTTGGCATCGCCTCAGGACGGCGTCGCCTCCCGCAACACCGGGACCCCGTTCGTAGCGTCCGAACGCTCCGTTCGAGTCGCGATGCCCTTTGTGACTGGTAGCGAACATTGCTCCTACAAGTAGTAGTAGGGCCAGGAGCCCCTAGTAGCGTCCTTGCCACTATCAAAAGGGGATGCCACTTCAGACTTGTTGAGCCAATTTTTGGGGCGTCTCCACCAAGGCACTGTAGTTTCGCAAAGCGCGTAGCAGCTTCCACTGCAAGGTCAAGGGTGAGCTGTTCTTAGAACACAGGTTGCATGTCTCCAAACATGCCGCGTCCCATCATGACCATCAGCACATATCAGCACTAGTCTTTCCAAGGCAAGGCATTGTTGGCTTCTTGGAAAAATGACTGGATCCCTTTGGGCGGTTTCTGTCTGCGGCTGTGCATCAGAACCTCCTCCAACTTGTGCTTGGATGTCTTCATGAAGGAGATTCCACAACCGGGCCTGCTGGCGACGCCATTCAGTCCACTGGATTCAGGCTGTAAGAGTCCAACCGTCCGCCATGATGGAAGATTTACTCATTTACTCACTTCAAACATCGGCCTTGTGGAGAAAGACTAGGTCTAGGTGAAGGCGCTGGTTTGGCAGCATGGTGAATGCATGGATGCGATGAGAGCGAGAGAGATCAGCTTCACTTGCACCCTCCTGTTCCGCGAGTCTTCACTTCCACATCAGGGTCGGTCAACAATCAACATACCTGCTCTCACTGCCCTCGTGCAACTTTATTTGATCGCGCGTGAGCCCCAAACATGATGTCTTCATTGGGAAACACAACGCCTTATCTTCTCCATACACACACTCTCAACCCTGGCACAAGGAAGTTCCAAAGCGGTTCATCCAATCCAATCACAACCCCGCCTTTGAGGCCTGGTCATCCTCCTGGCCAGCCAGGGCAGGATGATTGCTATAGTTCTCATGAGGCTGGGACAATCTCAAAGGGAAAAAACAAAAACATCGAAGAAAACACCAGCAGCAGGTGGCTATCTCTTAATATCCATCGCCCAATCGCTTTGCTGTATGTATGTGGTTTGATTTCAATTTATTTCAACTTCCCCGTATGTCGCATATCCTCTTACAGAAATTCTTATCGATTCTTACCAGTCAACTTTGCAGGGACCTTTCTTGACCCATGTTCTGACAGGTTCCTCTCGTGCAGCTACCAAACACTTCCTGTACGTGAGGATGGCTTCAATCCGGAACAGTGCCCGACTCGTGCAACTATATACTGTAAATCGACCATCGGGTGATGGTTTAATCCACGACAAGCCACAGAAACACACTTCACCCCGTGGCACAGTCATGATTTGCCATTTGTGAAGTTTCACTTGACCTACAGCAGTTTGACTTGACTTCACCCGAATTGATTGATGTCCACTTAAACTTGAGGGGCGCATTTGCGGCCCAACACGCACATGTGCAGGTCCTGGATTAAAGGACACCTGAGTTCCTTTGAGTTGGAACATTGGCAAACTTTTTTCAGGTCTAGCTTCATCCTTTCGCATTACACCCTGGTCCCACACAGTCCATCGCACTGACAAGATGCTCGTCTGCTCCTCGCTTTGAGCGACCCGACCACAAGTGATACGATGTGAAGGTATGAAGGTTCATTCAATCAGAAATCCAAATGCCACGCATGATCGCATCACCAAGTCCATGTCTTGAGTGGGTTTACCATGCTTCACCCCAGCAATCCCCCACAAATCCCACCAAAACCCATCTCAGCTCAGGCACTCCACCACGCCACTCCCCCACTCCCCTTTCCTCCGCGCGGAACGCGTGCCCAAACAGTTTGGGCGCGGCCTCATCGTGTCCTTCCAGGAAGCTCTTTGAGGCCAACTCCCCGGCTCGGAGACCTCGAGGTCGAGGAACGAACCCGAGGAACGAACCGAGACGACGACGCCAAGACGTGGGTCGGAGGACCGCACCGGGTGGTCTGTGCTCTTTTTGTTGGGGCGGGAAGGTGCGAAGTGGGGTGAAACTTATGGTTGATCACGAGTTATCATAAAAGGATCACGTTTATATATGATCAATGTCGAACTGTTGTATCATGTTGTTCTTTTGAATCTTCGAGATGTTCAACGGAGTCCAAACTGATATTCACAGTTTCTGTGGCGCAAACATGCAACCTGCCAGGTGTCCCAGTCATGTGACTGCCCTGAAATCTACTAGTCCCGTTATTGATTGACCAATAGGCCACATGCGTCATGTCTCCTTGTCAACGGCCCTCCAAAGAGTCTAGCTGGGGCTCCAATTCTCTATATCTCCAGCTCCGCCCTATCGCGCATTCTGCCCTTCCCAGCTCGTTCAAGGCGCTCAAAGGTCCAAAGTTTTTCGAAGCGCTCCGACCTTCTCCACCTCTTTCGAAGCAAATCTGCAGATCTGGGTCTGGGTCATTCAGGGTGGTCAACGATTTGGTGCCAACACCGAGTTTCTTCCAAGAACATGAAGTCCAAATGGACTACCCTATTAACTACCCGGTGACTCTCCGACAGCGTCTGTGGTTGGTCAACGATGGATCACCCTACACTTCTTCGAAGACTCGGACGGGGTTGCACAAGCTGACATCAAGGATATGATAGTATAGTAACTGTAACTATACTGATGCAAGAGGTGCAGCATCATAGCAACATCATGTAACATCTCTCCTTCAACAGTAGGGGGCCCGGGTGGCTCTTCATGTCCTCTTCATTCTCCAGATTTCTCCTGCCACCAATTTCTGGGGTTCTACAGTCTACATGGTAGCACATCCAAGAGAGATGGGCGATGATGGGTTGCACTCCCACTCAAGACAAATTGAACAGCTTCAAATAGACTCGTGGGTTGAGCAATGTTGTTCCATATTTTCCCTGAGCACCGACCAACGGTTGCGTGGGAGGGGGGTCATGTGTTCTCTGTGCTTAGGTTTCGCCTGAATGTGAAGCTACATTTTGGGCAGGGCTAACACGGTGAACCTCAGATTGATAGACTAATATATAAACGACATGATCGTAGCCAATGATTCCCCTCGTCCCATGGACTGCTTTCCCACTTCCCACCGGGCGCGATGGTCGCAGGACCGACCGCACCTGCGAGAGCGTCGCAGAACTCTTCGAAGGAGACCTTTCCATCGTTGGAGCTGTCCTCAGAGCCGCCGCGGCGGATGTGCCACGAAGACGTGCCATGCGGAGGTTTGGAATCATCTCATGAACAATATGAACATCCAATCATTGTGGAAGAAAAGGAAGGTTTGGACGATGATCGAAAATGATGTTGTCAGTGATGTTGTCTCATGTCGACTCCCATGCAGGGGTGATTTTGGCAGGACCTAGAAATGTGTGGCAGTCAGGAACGAGCCAAGGTGTGTGTGCACCGTGATAGTGCATATAAGGCGTTCAATGTAGGCCCACTTTCTCCAGGGCAGTGCTCAATGTCATGGACTACTTCAGGTCATCAGTAATTATAAAATATTACTTGAGGCCAAGGGGGGGGGGCGAAAGCTAGCGCTCCAGAATGGGAAAGTGGAGGGCAGCGAGGTAGGAAAAAACACGGCGCTCTTTTTGGAGGCAGGGGTGAAGAGTCCTTTATATGTGGCTCTTTGCCCGGATCCTCCTGCGAGAGAAGAGAGAGAAGAGAGACGGAAAGACGAGAGACAGAGAGGAGAGAGAGAGAGAGAAGAGAGAGAAGAGAGAGATGAGAAAGAGATGAGAAAGAGATGAGAAAGAGATGAGAGAGATGAGAGAGATGAGAGAGATGAGAGAGATGAGAG